TGACAGGGGATGAGAAGAGCAAGGCTATCCCTTCTTCCTTTTAATTCCCCTTCTCCTCACCTCTTCCAGAGCAGCAGGACTTGAAAACAGCTTGCTGCTTTGGCTGAAATGAATCTCGTGGTTTTTCAGAGGAAATTCAGCACTCTCGCTGATGGGGAGGAGCATTTCCATCCAGCGAGGTAGTTCCCATCACAACAAGCACTACTGGGAAACCAGCACACAGTGCCTGTATTTTACTCTCCTTCCTGCACTTTGTTACTCTCTTTCTTCGGGCGTGCTGAAAGGGGAGTGTAAGAACCGTATTTTGACTTCTCAGGGAATTCTGCATATTTGGGGGCACCTCCCAGGGACCCTGCTCCCTACCAGATCCCAGCCCTGGGACAGACCAATGAACCTGGGGTTTGTCTTTCTTCTGTCCCAGAGCCGGGTGAAGCAGAGACCCACTTCTTGTCCAGAGAGATCCTCTGGCATCTCTGGCAGCAGCGTCACGAGGAGTACGCCGTGTACGAGGGGAACCCACCACACAGCCCGTCCGTGAGCGTCAGCTCCACAGAGCTCAACCTCCAGATAAGTGTGTCAGACCTGCCGCAGCCTCTGCGAAGCGACTGCTTATAAAGCTCCAGCGCTGCCCATCCCCGCACCGCCGCCTCGGGGCGCCGGTCCCCCTTCCCTAAGGGGACCCTTCCTCTTGCAGTAAGTGCTGCCCATGGAAGCAATCCCCAACCTCCTGCAGGAACTGGCCACCAAAACCTCCTCTGCATCATGTTTACTGGAATCAGCTGACTCAAACCACAGTCCTGTAACATACTTCCCCTTTTCTTTGGTATCTATACCTCATGTATGAATCCATGTTTGGGTTTTTTAATCTGCTTTGATTCCCATTAGATAAAACGTTTTCCTCTGGAGAAGGTTGCATTATCCTGAATCCTGAGCACAATGTGCAGTTTGCCCTTGGACAGCCTGTGGTGTTGACAATCCCAGCCACGAGTGGGTGAGTGGGGGTGTGTGTGGGGTCCAAGGCATCCGCCCAGCGTGGCCTGGCTAATCTGACGGCTTCGGCAGGCGCGAGGGGTGTGCGCAGGGCTTCCAGGGTGTCTCCAGCCTGATGGACCCACTCTCACACGAACACCCTCGCTTTCAACCCACTTGGAATGTGGAGCTGTGTCGTGGTTTAGGCCCAGATGGCAACAAAAGACCAGGGGCCGCTCGCTCACTCCTCCTCCGAGTGGGGTGGGGAGGACAAAATGAAATGTTCATGGGTCGAGACAAGCACAAGGAGAGATCCCTCACCCCTTATGGTCACGGGCAAAACAGACTTGACTTGGGGAAGAAACATCCATTTAATTAGTTAACAATCAAATCAGTGTAGGATAATGAGAAACAAAAACTAAATCTTAAAACACCTTCCCCCACCCCTCCCTTCTTCCCGGGCTAAGCTTTGCTCCCCATACCCTGTGAGTGGCACAGGGGGACAGGGAATGGGGGTTGGGGTCAGTCCCTCACACGCTGTCTCTGCTGGTCCTTCCTCCTCAGGGGAGGGTCCTCACCCTCTGACCCTGCTCCAGCATGGGGTCTCTCCCATGGGAGACAGTCCTCCACCAACTCTTCCAACATGTGGCCTTCGCACAAGCTGCAGTTTTCTTCACAAAATGCCCGGCATC